ATTATTCAATATCATTCAATATTATTCAAAATAATTAAGAGTTTGGATCATTTCATGGGAAAACTTTGTATTTACAATTTTCTTTTTTTGTGAATAAGCCGGTTTTTTTTGACAATTTAGAGGGTTTTGAACTTACGCTCTATCTAAATTTCTGTAAATGCATTTCCATTAGACTTTTTTAATAAATTCATATATAGTTATCCTTTCTTGTTTTAAAGCTTCAATTCTGGGAAGCTAACTCTATTTTGACGACACTAAACTTGCCCCTAAAGTGACTCGATTCCTTCTTTTGGTCACTCGCATTTCGCCCTCGAAATCTCTTCAATGCTTCGATTAATTGAAACACGTTTTAGTCTATTTTGTAGAGGAGATTTACAACTTTCAAAAATAGTTTATAACATTCATCGATTCTCGTTTATAACATCAGCTTTCTATCGTTGGGAATTTATGTTGAAAATGTTGAAATCCGCATTTCTTATGCATTTACCTCATAATAAATAATTACTATCGATTTAGAAAATGCGACAAATCTTCCTTATTCTATTGTGCTCAACTAACGTATTTGGAGGTGAGATTACTCTACCAATACTTTCAAATTAATGTACTTCAAAACTTGTAGTCTTTAGCTTCGATTGCATTCTTTTCCCCTTAACTTGTGTAAGTAATATATAGATTTGTCGCATTTTCTAAGAGATCATTAAGTGATAAGTGTTGTCCTTGCTTTTTTGTGTCACACTCCGAATCTGATAAAATCACGCCATTTCTCTTGTTTGTTTGTTTTTCGTATATCAGTGAGGTGTCCCGGAAATTGCTGACCAGTGTTCGAGGGGCTTTTGAGCGAAAAATAAGATGAAAAATGAAATGAAAACGACCAATTGAAGTAACACGTTTCAGAAACAGTTCGCCGACTTATTTAATTGTAACTTAAGTCAAAATCTTCCCAACCAATCTAAAGAAGATTAGATTTTTTGTTTACAAACTCGTAATCAGGCAAGTTCTGAGGCAACTACGGGAGGCAAGTTCTGAGGCAACTACGGGAGGCAAGTTGTGTTTTGACCCTTGTTTGCTTTAAATTCTTCGTTCGCTTTGAAAAACTTCCCTTGACATGCCATTCCGGGACACCTCACTGATATACGAAAAAAGGAATGGCGTGATTTTATCCGATTCGGAGTGTGACACAAAAAAGCAAGGACAACACTTATCACTTTAAAGATCAGCGAGAGCTTTCTCGAAGGCGTAAAACAGATGAGATCTTTTGTCTATCAAAGGCGGTGCCTCTCTTTCTTGTTCTTTCTGAAGCTTGGTGTATTTTGTGCTGCTCTTTTGCCATTGCCATTGTTAAATCGATCAAATTTCGATACTTTTTGGTTATTTCTCATTAAATCAAATCGGTTAAATCCCTTTAAATTTCCATTTTTGCAATTTGCATTACAAAAATCTGAATTCCTTTTGCATTCTATTCCTATAAAATTGATTGATTTGCTATTTTAAATGGAAAAATTGAAATTGAAATTGAAATTGAAAACTTTCACTAGTTTAATGAGGCTTTTTAATGCTAATTGCAAAGATTGCAAATTTAGAGAGTGATAGTCGATTTGACGCAAATGTGGATATGACCGAATGATGTTTTTATTAATTAACCTAACCAGGGAAAAGCACAAACTCAAGGTGACCTTTTCACATCCTTTGCACTTTATAGAAGTGGCTATGTGGAATCCGAATCTGAAATCAAAATATCCCAGATGACTTTCCTAACGTGTAAAATTTCAATTGAAAATTTGGTTTCAAAAAGGAAGAAAAACAAACGAAAAAGCTGCACAAGGGATCGAACCCTGATCCTGTGAGCAAACTTAACCTGTGAGCTTAACTTGTCGATCAATCGGCGATCAACTTATCAGGATCTGCCTAATCAGCAGATTCCACAGCAGATATCAGAGAAGTTGTGAGGGGAAATGAGTCATGTTGAGCACAAAATCTTGGCGTTACGTATTCAGAAATGATCTTTACGAATGTAAACAAGTTAAAAAACTTAATTTAGATGATTTAAACGTTTAAAATCTTTAAATTTACACGAAATTGCTGCAAAATTGCGGTCTTACACTTTCTTGAAACAGCTAAAACGGTTACTTTTTGGTAGAGTCTTGAAACAGTCAAAACGGTTACTTTTTGGCACTCAAAGCAAACTTTTGAGCCTTTTTTTTCAAGCGATAAACGACTTTGTTTAGTAGCTCTAACTTGTATTGCCCGCATAGTTTTGTTTCACATAATTTGAATTAATGTTTTTAAAAGTTGAAGCTATTGGGTTGGGGAGAATGAGTCGGCGCCGAAAATGAAAGAAATTTGTAAAACTTATAACAGACTTTGTCAAATGATATGCGTTTGATATCCGTAGAAGGGTAACTAATTCTCTACAAAATAATATTTAAAAGAGAACTCAAACAGCGCCTCAACTCAACAAAAGGCCATTTTTTCACAAAATCTATAAACTGTGACCTAGCGAAAACGGTTGGAGGGATCTTCCTGTAAATTTGGCAACTTATGCAATTGAGTATACTCTATTTTCATTCCCTTTTCATTCCCCGATTCCCCCGGCTATTCACCCTTTTCACAAGAATCTCTTTCTTAATCACGCCATTTCTTTTGTACAAGCGGTAAACGACTTTGTTTAGTAGCTCTAACTTGTATTGCGTAGTTTGCGTGAGGTGTCCCGGAATGGAATGTCAAGAGAAGCTTTTCAAAGCAAACGAAGAATACAAAAATATAACGCTTAACGCAAAAATCAACTCGAAGACAGTAGAAAAAGAAAGTTAAAGAGCTGATAAGGATCACTCTTTTCAAAATATTCAATGCGTTTATACGTATTTCGCGCCTTTTCATTCCCCCGATCCCCCGGCTATTCACCCTTTTCACAAAAATCTCTTTCATAATCACGCCATTTCTCTTATTTTATTCTATCAGTGAGGTGTCCCGGAATGGTATGTCGAGAAGAGTTTTTCAAAGCGAACAAAGAATTTAAAGCAAACAAGGGTCAAAACACAACTTGCCTTCCGTAGTATCTGTTACGAGTTTGTAACAAAATCTAATCTTCTTTAGATTGGCTGTCAAGATTTTGACTTAAGTTATAGAATATGTTGGGTGGAGGGACTCCCCTCTAATACGCTGAAGGAGTTGAGTCGGGTTGTTGGGGTGTTAGAGATGATAGGATATCAAAAGAAATCCACTCTTTAAGTTAACCCAAATTCTAGTCCATATCCGTTTACTCCTAAGCAAACAGCTTTAAACAATAAAGCTTTAACAATCAATCTATTCATTCATAACAATCAATTCATCAATCCATCCAATTCACAACAGCCAATTCATTTAATTCATCCATCTTAATCACGCCATTTCTCTTGTTTTATCTTTTGTTTTACCATTTCTCTTGTTTTATCACGCCATTTCCTGAAAATATGTAAACATTCATTGAATATTTTGAGAAGAGTGATAAGAATCATCTCATTCATTTTTATTCACCCGCCGATTCACTCCATGTCATACAGCTTCGTCTGACTACAGTTTCGCCTGACTACAGTTTCGCCGATCGAATTGCCACATATGATTCTGAACCTTTTGCTTTCTGTAGCCGTCTTTGTTTGAAACGAGTTACTAAGGAAATCATTTTTTTTTGTTAACTCGACCAATTCTACTTGCAATATAACTTGAAAAATTCAATTTTGCCTCTTTGTACATTTTGATTTAAAATTATTTAACCACGGCTCTTCGATATTTCTTCATTAGTAAGGGCTTTGACTTAAAAACTGAACTTAAGAGTACTTAAGAACTGAACTCAAGTACTTAAGAACAAATAAACTCTGCCAAATGATAATTGTAACTAGATGTAGTGTTTCACAGAGCTCATTTCAGAGCTGAATCTTCAAGGATTAGCTCTTTACTCTAGGCACAACGGTTAGCTGTATAGAAAAAGATAAAGTATAAATATTCAGATCAAATGACCAGCCAGATAAGGGCATCTATATAGAAGAGAGACTTTTTAGGCTTTTATGTTATTAGTCATTTACCTATACGTTTAAATCTATCCATATTGTAGTTAGGATAAGCTAAAATCGAACATTTAGCTCTGGCTGTGTGAATCTGTGTGAATGATTAGGCTTCCGGCAAGAAAATCGCTTTATAACATGAAATATGTACACCAGGGCTCATTTAAAGGGCACATTTTAAACTTTCAGTACTCAAGTTTGGGGTGGATTGGGGTGGCGGGTAGATTGGGTTTCTCGAATGATAAATAATGATAATGATAATGATCTCGAATGATTCTCGCTTCAACTCTCTGATATTTATTGTGGTGTTGGTCAGTCCAGTGGGTGCGTGCTGGGGATATGCAAAATTTGCGTTGCTGGCATTGCGTGCTTAACTTTTTTGCATCACCAACCCAGCTTACCTACGTTTATTCCCTTTTTTTTCCATCACCAACCCAGCCTACCTACGTTTATTCCCTTTTTCTCCATCACCAACCCAGCCTACCTACGTTTATTCCCTTTTGCTCCATCACCAACCCAGCCTACCTACGTTTATTCCCTTTTGCTCCATCACCAACCCAGCCTACCTACGTTTATTCCCTTTTTCTCCATCACCAACCCAGCCTACCTACGTTTATTCCCTTTTTCTCCATCACCAACCCAGCCTACCTACGTTTATTCCCTTTTTCTCCATCACCAACCCAGCCTACCTACGTTTATTCCCTTTTGCTCCATCACCAACCCAGCCTACCTACGTTTATTCCCTTTTGCTCCATCACCAACCCAGCCTACCTACGTTTATTCCCTTTTTCTCCATCACCAACCCAGCCTACCTACGTTTATTCCCTTTTGCTCCATCACCAACCCAGCCTACCTACGTTTATTCCCTAACTTCCGTTTCCATCAACACGCTTTCATGATGTTGAAACTAAAAATTTTACAAGTGTTCAACTAAAAACATTAAGGTATGCGTTGTCGGTGCAAATGAGGTCACCGGATGGCACGGTCAGTCACTTAAAAGCCAATTGTTCGTTATCACAGCAGACAAGCCCTCGCCTTCACAAGCTGTTTTTTTTTCGATTATTTTTTCACAGATATTCGCACGCTAATATTATTTTTCAAATCTAATCAATCGATTCAGAAAATGAAGCAAATCTTGCTTATCTTATTGTGCTCAACTTACGTATGCGGAGGTGAGATTATTCTACCAATTAGAGTGTGTTCCTCGCGAGTAAGTAGTTACTCGAATAAATTTGCACGAGTAATCTTTTACTCGAGTAATAGCTCTGGTAATTGTCGAGTAATGCGTTTTCTAAAAAGTGCGCCGGCGCGAAAAAAATATGAAAGGAATTTTTTGCGCAGGTTTTTCAAAAAAAAATTATTTTTTACATTGGAAGGCATTTTACATTTTACATTGGCTGAGTATCTTTAAAAAGTGACGTATATAAGGCGCGGGGCTCGTGATTTTTCCGTCATTTTTTACAATAATTTTTGCTAAAATTGTACGGTAATTTTTTCCCAAGTATGCGTTTTAAAAAGCGCATTACTCGCGAGGAACACACTCTACTACCAATGCTCTTAATAATAATGTACTTTCTAAAATGTGCTTTCTAAAATGTGCTTTCTAAAATGTACTTTCTAAAATGTACTTTCTAAAATGTACTTTCTAAAATGTGCTTTCTAAAATGTACTTTCTAAAATGTGCTTTTTAAAAGCTTTGAAAGAGTAGCTAAGATTTTTGAGAGCAATGAAATCAGAAAATGAAATTGTAAATTGTACGCGCTCTATCTAAACAACGTTTTCAGTTCATTCAACTCAACAAGCGAGTGATCATCCAAATGAAACATCTGCCGGACATCGTTCGTTTTCTTTTTCATCTAATTTTTCTTCAGCTATCTCTAAATTTTATTATCAAAATCAATAAGAAACAGTAGCAATCCAGAAAACGATTTCAAAAAACGATTTCGATAAACTTGAATTTACTTTATAAGTCGATTTCTTTACTTTTACTAGGGAACAGTGAGATTTCGCAACTCGAGCCAAAGCTTTATGATTTACGCAAGTCAGCCACGAGCAACACGATCGTGTTTTTAGTTTTTTTTTTTTGCCTAAATGCTCTAGATTTCTATACAAACACATTTGAAATTTGAACGAATATGAATTTCTAACGGTTACCGCCACTCACCAAACAAGTGATCTGGTCGTGTAGTACAAGCAGCACTATAACAAGGAGTTATAGTGCCGCTGTCTCGCATTCTTAACATCCTACTTCGATCCGCTTTAGATCGATGTTTTTACATTTTTATTTTTATTTTTTAAGCAATAAGTTGAATTTTGAATAGTTTTGAGTCTTTAGCTTGTAGTTTTTAGCTTCGATTGCATTCTCTTGCCCGTAACTTGCGTAAGTAATCTAGCTTTGGTTCGGATTGATCTGATCCAAATCTGACCTTTCCTAGTTAGACCTGTAACTAATTTCACTATTTCAGATCGAATCCTGGACGTACTTCAATCGTATTTGTTGATCGTTGCCCTCGTGATCATCGTGATTCTCATTGCGATCGTCATTGCAATCATCATTGGCGTCATCATTGTTGCTTTGACTGGGAATCTCAAATTATTCAATTTCTGCCGTTCAATTCAACGTCAACGCAGTCGGTAAAGCAAATTTCTAAATGAAATACTAAAATTTGGACCAATTGCAGTATTTCACAGCTCGAGTCGACATCCCAACAACACGAGGTTCCATTCCGCAGCACCGGTCTCAAGAATGTAAGTTTTAAAAAATGTAAAATGCTCTTTAAAGCGGATAAAATTTCAGTACACTCCTCTCTGAATCAATAAACAGCGAATCGCTAATCGAATGGCTTTATGCTCCTGTCCTGGTTTTCTGTTCTGACTGGCCTAGAAACCAGACCTGGACCTGGCTCTGAACTGGCTTTTGAACATCTTGCCCAGTCATCCAATCAAATACTTTCATTCTAACATGATTTAATTAGAGAAAATCCTAAACTTTCACAGTATTCTTATCATTTTACAGATTCTTAACTCACTTGTTTTGTTTTGTCACATTGTTAACTCACTTTCCCATCTTTTACGTTTTCAGTTTTTCTTTCGGTTACCATTAAAGCTCATTTACTCTATTTGCTCATTTGCACGAACTATTTATTAAAATATTACTTTTTTGCTCAAAAAGAACAAAAGAACAAAATACCCTTTCCGGACACTCTGTATATTCTTAATTACTCAAAAGACTAACATTTTATCTACAACCTTTATGCAAACTGTGCAAGATTTCCATTTGATTCTCAATTGGTTCGCACTTGGTTCGGATTTGGTTGCCATTTGGATCCCAATTGGTTCCAAATTGGTTCCCATTTCGTTCCCAGGCGGTTCTGATTTGGTTTCCATTTGGTTCTCAATTGGTTCCTATTGGGCTTCGAATTGTAGCTGAATCGGTTCGCATTTGGTTCGCATTTGGATCCCAATTGTTTACCATTTGGTTCCCATTTGGTTCCCACTTGGTTCCGATTTGGTTCTCATTTGGTTCCCATTGGGTTCGCAATTGGCTCCAAATTGGCTCCAAATTGGCTCCAAATTGGCTCCAAATTGGTTCCAAATTGGTTCCAAATTGATTCCGATTTGGTTGCCATTGGGTTCCCAATTGGTTCCAAATTGGTTCCAAATTGGTTACCATTTCGTCGATGAATTTCAATCGTTGATCGAGATGGACGACCTTTATGCAAACTCCGCGGGTACATCTCGAAAACTTCAAAAACTTTTCGCTGTCGGCTCGTTAACGTTTGTCATAGAATGAGCTTTTCAGATCCGCATTCAAGAGGCGTTACGACTGTGGCGTAAAGCAAAAAGTACTAAAATTTGATCGATTTAACAATGGTAATGGCAAAAGAGCAGCACACAATACACCAAGCTTCAGAAAGAATACGAAAGAGAGGCACCGACTTCATAGACAAAAGATTTCGTCTGTTTTATACCTTCGAGAAAGCTCTCGCTGGGAGATCTTTAAAGTGATAAGTGTCGTTGTTGTTTTTTTGTGTCACACTCCGAATAAACAATAATTTCCCTTCTTCGAAAGTGAGTTGTGTAATGAAAACCGTTCAAAAGACACAAGGATAGTCCCTTTTTTTCTCTCTAATTTTTTCCGTTTCCTTTTCCTTTCCTTTCCTTTTTCCTAACACCTTTTCTTTTATCTTTTTTCATCAATCTCACCTTTTTTTCACTAAGTTCTTTCCCAAAAAATGTCTTTTTCTTTAAAAAAAACCCTTCGAAAAAGCGATCCAAATGAAAAATTCAAAAATCTATTGATTTTCTGTCAATTTTTATGTCATTAAATTTGAAGAAATAGATATTTTTTGCAGTTTTCTGTACTAGTAAAGGATTCTTTGAATGAAATTGTATTGTATATTGTACATTGTATTGTATGAAATCAATTTTGATAACTAAAAGTCAAATGACTGTGTTAATATAAAGCAATTATAGCTAATTGTCTAGTTAAATTTTGTAAAAGATTTCTTTTTCCAAACAATTTCTAGATTATTCGTTTTCTACGCTTTTTGTTTCTATGTCTATTTGGATTGTGGGGCATTTGATTGCCCTGTTCCTTTGCCATTGGCAATCTGACTTTGAGCTCAAGTTTCTTGGTGTTGGACTGTTCAATTCAAATAGTTTTCGTACCAATCGATAGAGAAAGACGCGGCGCATCTAATAATACCAAGAATATTAGAATTAAACAACTGAACACCAAGAAGTTTGAGCTCAAAGTTAAAGTACTAATGGGAAAAGCGGCGGGGCGCGGATCAAATGTCCAATAACGATTTGAGTGTGTTCATTGAGAGTAATCCGTTTTCTAAAAGCTGAATAGTTTGGACCGTGATTTTCCTTTCGAATTTTGTCATCGATGATCTAGACGATGAATTGCTAATCGACGATGAAATGCTTTCATTCGTTTAGACGATCAATGAAAGCATTAAGCTGATCTGAGTGAGCTGATCTGAGTGAGCTGATCTGAATGAGCTGATCTGGGTGAGCTGATCTGATTGAGCTGATCTGAGTGAGCTGATCTGAGTGACCTGATCTGGGTGAGCTGATTTGAGTGAGCTGATCTGAATGAGCTGATCTGGGTGAGCTGATCTGAGTGAGCTGAAAGAAGATTATGGTAGTTTTCTAAATTGCCCATCTTTCAGAAAAGCCACAAAGAAAACACTCTAATCTGGTTTTTAGAAAATTCCTTAATAACGGTACTTTACAAGAGTTGGGACATTTTAGAAAAAAAATTGGATAAATCGAATGATTGACTTTTCCAGGTGCATGCCACGATCAATCTGGGGAAACCGTCTCGTTCAAAAGCTCGCCTTCATCCTTTTCCTCATCGTTTTCTTTCTTGGGCTTATAATACACCAAAGTGAGTGGAAATTTAGTTGAAATTTAGTTAAAAACTTAGCCAAACAATGAAAAACACCATTTTCATATAAAAATCGGCTATTTTAGAGAAAGCTCTCGAAAATCGAGATCAAGTGAATGTGTCGATCGATATAAAGGTGGGATTTCTTTTGAATTTTCCTGTTAATTGCTAAGTTTAAGGCTTTAAAGGCTTTAAAATGTTTCTCTACTCAACGAGACAATGGAAAAATGGAAATGAAAATCGACAATTTCAAATGCAAATCAAATCAAATTACAAATCAAATTATTTCTTTAATGAATGCATTCAAAAGAAAAGTCTACTTTCAAAAAAAAAATTGCCGTAATCTTGCTTCTAGTTCTTGTCAATCTATTAGGCTCAAAAAACAAGATCTGGTATCGTTACAATATCGGAATACCCGCCCCTTTTGGCAATCTAACTTTGAGCTCTAATTTCTTGATGTTCGGCTGTTCAATTCAAATAGTTTTTATAGCAATCGATAGAGAAAGACGCGGCGCATCGAATGATACCAAAAGCATTTAAACTGGACAATCCAACACCAAGAAATTTAAGCTTAAAGTTAGATTGCCAATGGCGAAGGGGCCGGGTCGCGTTTAAAAGGTCGCCCCGCCCCTTTGCCATTAGCAATCTAACTTTGAGCTTAAATTTCTTGGCTTTGGGCCGTCCAATTTAAATAGTTTTTGTATCAATCGATAGAGAAAGACGCGGCGCATCTAATGATACCAAAAACATTTAAATTGAACGTCCCAACACCAAGAAATTTGAGCTCAAAGTTAGATTGCCAATGGCAAATGGCAAAGGCAACGTATCAAATGCTCCACAATCTTACAATATTACAGATTACCTTGCCGATTGGATATCTCGAAATCTCGCCTTTATTTTGATCTATATCTCCGAATTTGCTTGTATTTCTCTATTTTTCGTTGCCGTTTGTCTCTATTTTTGTAGCCGTCACAATATTCAATCAAATCGGGAAGAAAATGACGGGTATTCACTCACAAAAAGATATTCAGCCTATCAACCGGCAAGTGATAGTCTTGTTTAAAAAGAAAAGTTTGTTTTTATTGAATATTGAGTACTGTAAAGTCTCAATCTATTGTCTCATAGTGAGAAATTTCATTTCGAAAAGGCCAGGCCAGATCTTGTCCTGGTTTTCTTTCTTGACTGGCCTAGAAATCAGAACTGAACCTGGCTCTGACCCGTTTGAAACATCTTTTCCAGTCATTCAATCAAATACTTTCATTCTAACATGATTTAATTAGACAAAAGTCTAAACTTTCATAGGGTTCTTATCATTTTACGGATTGTCATTGTTAGATTTTAGATGTTACAGACTTTCCCATCATTTACGTTTTTCAGTTTTCCTTTCGGGTACCATTAAAGCTCATTTACTGCTCATTTGCTCATTTGCACGACTATTTAATAAAATATTGCTTTCTTTTTTGCTCAAAAAGAACATCAAAAGAACAAAACACCCTTTCCGGACACTCTGAATATTCTTAATGACTCAAAAGACTAACATTTTGTCTACAACCTTTATGCAAACTGTGCAAGATTCCCATTTGATTCTCAATTGGTTCGCACTTGGTTTCGAATTTGGTTGCGATTCCTTTCCAATTCGGTTCGAATTTTCCCCATTTTGTTCCTATTTTGTTCCCAATTGATTCCCATTTAGTTCCCACTTGGTTCGGATTTGGTTGCCATTTGGTTCTCATTTGGTTCGGATTTGGTTCGAATTTTTCCCATTTTGTTTCTATTTTGTTCCCAATTGGTTCCCATATGGTTCCCATTTGGTTCTCATTTGGTTCGGATTTGGTTCGGATTTGGTTGCCATTTCGTTCCCAGGCGGTTCTGATTTGGTTTCCATTTGGTTCTCAATTGGTTCCCATTGGGTTTCGAATTGGTGCTCAATCGGTTTCCATTTGGTTCCGATTCGATAAACAAATAACTATTTTCATTTGTTTTTTTTGATATCCTTAATAATTAATAATGGTTATTATGTTTTGGCTAGTTGAAAATTTGGGTCTAATCAAAAAAATCTAATCAAAAGATTGCAGCTGTGAAGAGCTCTTGTTTAGAATCATGTAGTGAGTTTCTTTTCACGAGATTTTCATGCTCATATTCAAGAATGTTTTAGACGAAAATTTCCAGGTCCAGGCTCCGCTGGATTAAGTTAGAATAAGACAAAACTGACCACTGATCTGACGGTGATTGTCATCGTTGTGGCACATTGTTGAAAGAATCGAGTTTTCCTGTTATTTGTGATCCGCAACTGGCTCAAGTCTCAAGTTTAAGGCCTGAGACTTGAGCCAGACAGTCCACAGTCTTCAGCGAAACAAAGTTGTGACGTTGACCAGCTCCAGCTCCAATAGATCAGCTCCAACTCCAATAGA